CGTGGATCACATCCAGACAGTTTCGAGGATTATCGAGGTTTGCCGAGTGTACCGCCTACTTCTCGTCCTAACCTTCGTTGACTATGAGAAAGCGTTTGACAGCGTCGAGACTATTGGTATACTGGCGCTGGTCCAAAGGGTGGACCCATCTTACGTGACGACGTTAACCGACTGCTACAAGACTGCTCTACAACGATGCAGCTTTTCCATCGCTCCATTAACGTACCAATGTCAAGGGGGGTACGACAAGGCGACACCGTGTCGAACCCACCTTGACAAAGCTTATCGCTGCTTTGTAGTGGGTGATGAAATCACAGGACTGGAATGAAAGAGGCGTACAGGTTGATGGTTGACTCCTCTCGAACTCATTTTGCGGATGACATTGTTCTCTTCTTCAGGAATACCACTGAAGCGGAGACGATATTGAAAGAATCAAACGAATTAGGGAGCGGATAGGACTGCGAATTAACCGAAGGAAGACTCAGCTCATGAAGAACCTTTTTTTACAAGGATCAGGTAATAGAACTAGAAAGCTTTTCGGTCGCGGAGGCGTCTTCTTACGTATATTTCGGGCCTGAACATGGAGAACGATTTGAAAGAAGAAGTGAACACGAGGCGAAGAGCAGTTTCAGTCGCCTTCGGGCCCCTAAGGGAACCCACAGACTAGCTGACATAGCCAGATCTCCGAGCCTACCTGTTCTATTCTACCATTAATCTTCCGCTCTGTTACGTAGCAGAGACGTCCTGACATTGCACCTATAACAAATGTTTCCAGAACAACTCATAGAGTGCTGGAAAGACGTCATCTGAAAACCACCCACTCAATATTTTCGTGCTTCCCAGTTCAGATATGAGATCAATGTCTCGTCTTCGCGAACCAGCCGAATACGTCTTTAAGGTAAAACATCGATGGGCTGGTCGTATGTTGAGAGGGGCAGATGACAGATGGACACTAAGAACGCTGGATGGATAGCTCGCGGAGCAAAATGTCCTCGAGGGAGACCACCAACCAGATGGGCTGACGTGTTCGTTGCACGGATGGACCAGCTGAATACTCAGCTGGTAACGAGTGATTTATCTGGACCTTGCGAACGTCGCCGCTGCACTCTATTACCAACATTATGGATGACGATAGCGAAAGACAGCAACGGATGGAAACAGTGCTGTGGCCTGCACGATAAGTGAAGACAGGCCATCTGAGTATCTAAGTGATTAAATTCCCCGAACAATAAACAACTTGTGCATCATCGAACGTACCAAACCCAGAATATCTTATGGGTTATCGACATCAGAGAGAGTTGAAGTTGAGATTATGATGAGTCAACAGTTACAGTAAACAAGGGATTCACACATTTTATCTGTCGCAAATACCTTCTTATGTATTGCAGGACTGAGATAGTCTTAGCTCACGGCTCGACAGGCTTCGCAAGGACCGTTTTTGGGGAAGGAAGCAATAGGAAAATCGTACAGCGTCAGCGTAACACACACTTTCAAAAGCGGATAGCCGATGGACGGCCACTAAGTTTGCTAAGAAGAAGTGCAACAAGGGCTTTAAGGATTGTGAGCAAAATCTTCACAGATCTGTGAGAATGAAAAATTGCCTAGATAGGTTTTAAAGCCATTTTTGCTTTGTGTCTGCGGGAGAAACCTACGAGAGAATCACGTCTCTGGTTAGCAATCATGTTTTCGTTTCTCTAAATTTACTTCCGTTATTGAACACTCTTTTTTGTGTCCTTTGATCCAACTTGTGATGCATTAACCAAAAGCACTTGCTCCCTTCTTTGATAGGGCTAAAATCGTTCTACCTTGAAGAAGAAATCGGACTCCAAGCAAACTGTGCCAATACTTGTCCTGTTCGCACGAATTGCTACCGGCTACAAACGGTCTATTTTGTTTGTTTGAGAGGATTCGTTCTTGTAAGGCTCAAAAGGAATCCTCGAATCTGTCTTGGCATGTACAGATGCAGAGATCAGAGATGTATTATGTGGGTTCAATCAATCAAAATTCCAATAGCCAAGTCAGATTCTGCAAATGTCTTCTGGCAGTCCCATTCTTCACAAATGTAGAGCCAAAACGCCAACTTGTATTAAATTTTTTGGAGGATCTGTGATATTGCATA